CTCTCTCTCTCTCTCTCTCTCTCTCTCTCTCTCTCTCTCGCTCCACCTCTCTTTCACAATCCCCACCTTATTAAAAATTTCCTCTATCTTTCAATCAGAATATTCCACAGAATGAAGGAGATAATGATTGAAATAAAACTGGACGAGAAGTGAACATATTAAATGGCAGAGAAAATGACATCTGTCTTGATGATGTCCACTGCGGATACAAACATCCAGGTCTTGTTTGTTAAATTTAACAGAATAACAACTATAAATGTGTATTTTTTGTTTTGAAGCTGTTACTTTAAAGAAAGGTTTCTTTATTGTTTCAGGGGGCAAAGAGAACATTGTCCGACCCCTCTGGCCCGTACCACAGGCCTCCTGTCTTTCTTTATTCTGTTTCTCCTTTCCTCCACTCCTCCCCTCGTCCGTTCCTCCTCTGTTCAGAGACAATGGGCAGACACAATGCTTCTGTTCTAGAGGCCCCACAAGTCAAGTTCTCTCTTTCAGATCACTTCCCCTGGGTCAAAGGGCATCAGTGGGCTTTCCCCAAACACATATACACAACACACACACACACCAAGCCGTCCAAACCCTCTGTTACTACACACACACACACACACACACACACACACACTAAGCCATCCAAACCCTCTGTTACTTCCTTTCCTGCTTGTGTGCAGCTGGAAATCATAGTGTCTTGCTTCACTAAACATGCATTTTTCTCCCTCTCCCTTTCTGAAAGCATTACCACTCAGCATAGAAATTCCTAGTATTACATAGACGCAATTTACCGAAGTATAAGAAAAATGTCTTTATTTAATTTCTCAGTTTCTTTGGACTGGGTTTTCGATACAAATTTCTCTATTTGATTCCGATTCACAAGCTCACGGTTTCATTGAAATTCATTTGGGTTTAAGTAATAATGCCCATATTTCATACACATGAAAGAAATTCTCTTTTGCTAACGGTAAATTAGACAGGACAGTGTTGCATACTAATTCAATTGAGTCATTTGTCTTTTATTCATAAAAATGATTCATTAAAAGAACTGGCTAACAAGTCATTCATTTTTGGATTTGAGCTACACTGGTAGTGCTGTTTGTTTTTGATTCACTAAAAAGACTGACTCATAGAGTATTTCGCTCCAGGAATGCTCTACACTGGTTGTGCTGTATGTGTTTGATTCACTAAAGAGAACCAGCTTATAAGACTCATCCGCTGCAAGAATCATGTACACTGGTCGCACTGTATATTTTTGAATCACTACTAAGAATCTTATTCATTGTAAGAATCAGTCTTCACAGGTTGTACTGTATGATTTGGATTCACTAAAAACAGCTGATGAAAGTCATTTGTTGCAGGAACTGGTCTACACTGGCTGCGTTTTTGATTCACTAAAGAACCGGCTCATTCGCTGCAGGAATCAGTGTATACTGACAATTCACAAAAAAGAACCATTTCAGAAGACTTCTTAATTGCAGGAATCTGTCTCTACTGGTCACGCTGTATGTTTATGGTTCACTACGAACAACTGGGTCATAAGAGTCATTTGTTTCAGGAATCAGTCAACACTGGTTGTTCTGTATGTTTTCACTACAAAGGACTCATTCATTGCAGGAATCAGTCTACACTGATCACATTGTATGTTTTTGATTCACTAATTGGAACCAGCTCATTTATTTCAGGAATCTGGCTACATTGGTCATGCTGTATGTTTTTGATTCACTAAAAAGAACTGGCTCATAAGACTCATTCATTTCAGGAATTGTTTACACTGGTCACAGTGTACGTTTTTGATTCACTAAAAAGAACCGACTCACAAGACTCATTCATTTCAGGAATCATTCACACTGGTCGCGCTGTATGTTTTTGATTCACTGGTGCACTTGTTGCGTTATATGTTTGTTTTCGTATGCAGGTCGCATACAAAAACATTTCTTTCCTTATTTGGGGTACATGTCTTGTTACTGTTTCACATTCAATACAAATGGAAAACTCACATTCAATACAAATGGAAAACTCACATTGACTCGGATGAAATATTATTTCTTTTGCTCTACAGTCTGCACACTCCTTAACGTGCCTTATGCTTTTTAAAATTTGCAAGCAGTGTAGGCTACTAGCTGCCAAATCTATCGCTCATGTTACTTTATGCCTTCAGCAAACCTATGAGAACATCCCTTGCTGCGAGCGCGTAGACACGCTCACATACTGCAAAACATCACAGCACTGACCACCTGCAGTTTCACCATGTCAATTAAACACACAAATTCATTTAGTCACCCCTCCCTCGCTGCTGGATGTGATGTGTTGCATTAATTAAAGTGGCAGACGTCGGCCTAATTGGAGCTTGGATGAACGTTGATGTGTGTGTGTGTGTGTGTGTGTGTGTGTGTTCAGCTAAGCCAGTAGTCAGCTTACAAAGTTACATTATGTTTCTTTGCATCTATAGTTATGCATGTTGTTAATTTTACCTGGAGTATTATTGTATTATATTACATACAGTATACACTGTAAAAAAGTTTGTCATTTTAATAGTAAAAGACTAACAATCCTGTGGTAAAAACCTGTCAGTTGGTTAACAGCAAATTCCTTTACTACATACGGTGAAAAACAGTAATAGATCTAACAGGGCATTTTAAGTAATTTTACAGTAAAATACTGTTAAATGTACAGACTTTGGAAACGTCTATGTAAAAATTAACAGTAATTTTTTAATTTACAGTAAAAAAAAACAGGTTAACTGATATTCCCACGATGCATGAAAATTTACATTTGATGTTATTTTAAACAGTTACTGTATGTTTCTTGTTAGTTTTTGATATCAATTATGTACATTTGAGTTTTGTTACATCTTATGTTGTTTAATTCATGTTTATTGCATTATTTTAGTGTCAATTGTATTACCATGATGGTGTTTTGTGTTTTGTGCATGATACCTCAACTGTATATCAGTACTCTACTTGTGATGAAATCTAATTTATCATTTGTCTCTTTTACCACCTATATTATTATGGAGGCTATCAGTATATTTTACAAGTACAAAACAGAGTAGTAAGATCTAATATTAACATTACATCAGTTAATGAAATTTTACAGTTTTTACTGTAAATGTAAGTTCAGTCCATTTCACCCTAAAATGTTGGTACCATTTTACAGTAAGGTTCTAGCAACCGCAGCTGCTGTTTTTGTTTTTTTGCTTTTTGTTTTTTAACCATAAATTCACGTTTTTGATTTGTTTGTTTTTTGACAGTGTATAGCTGTCAAAACTTAAATTCTTTATATTTACATATAACTACATATATTATTGCTAAAATTATACACTGTAAAAAAAAATCCATAAAAATAGGGCACAACGTATTGTATTAATATGAAGACATTTTCTGTATTTATTTTTTACTGGTGTAAAATATATAGTATATATGTGAATTTGTGTGTGTGTGTGTGTGTGTGTGTGTGTGTGTGTGTATATGTCTTTTTTTTTTTCAGTTTCAGTTATTTTAGTACCAAGTTTTAGTAACAAAACTTTTTTTTTTTATGGTTTTAATTTTAGTTTCAATTTTAGTTTTATCTATAATAACCCTGGGCAGCAAACAGAAAGGAATCTTCTATTATTGATGTCTGGTGTTTTATAAGTGGGTTACAACACACAATTCTGTGTCCACACGTAAAGCCTTCGCAAGTGAGGGGAAATTGCCCTTGAAATGAATATAGTGTGTGTGTGTGTGTGTGTGTGTGTGTGTGTGTGTGTGTGTGTGTATGTGCGTGTGGGTGACATCTGGAGTTCCCTCATGTCCTGCAGGGGTCTGCCAAGCAATGGCTTTTTAATAGACACATGTGTGCAAACACACACGCATACACTTCCACATGCACATGCTGTGCCTCTCCTGGATAGAGATGTTGATCTAAGACGTGCCAGCGGTGTCCAATCCCCCTACTGCTCTGATGCATCTGTCAGTGTTCAGCAACTTCCATCTGTGCTTGTGTGCATGTGTGTGTACATTGAAATGATGTTGTGCATAGGAATGAAAGAAAGAAGGAAGAAGAAGGCTGAATACAGGATGTAATTGATTTTTTTGTTCTGTAATTGCTTGTAGACAGAATGTCTCATTAGTTACTAAATGTCCTGCATGTAATAAACTCGCTCTGTGATGCAACAGTATTAATAATACTTAAGGCTAAGTTTAGAGTGAGTTTGGTGGAGAATTAAACGCTCAAAACCTAGGCCTTTTCAGTTCACAAAAACAAAGCACACATATAGACTTACTTTCATCTCTCTTCCGCTTGCTTGCATCGGCAGGTGAGCTGATTCCCAGAATTCCACTGATGGAGTAGGAGGAGCCTGCAGCGTCGCTGGTTACTGCGGATACCTGGGTCACTGCCACTGGAGAGGCTAGAAAGTTACAGAGAGCTAATGAAGACCACAAATGTCCTAAAACATACATGAACATGGTGGATATCATTATTGCTATTGATTGACATTCACTTTGGACTATATATGATGACAGTTTGGAGTGTCCATGATGAAGAAAAATCTTTCAAAAAATAAGTTTAAAATGCTTACACCTTGTGTTTGCAATATTTTTCCAAGCTAAATATCATGAATAAATATTATGATTAATTAATTAATTAATAGCGTTCTATAACCCAAACTAATCTTGCCTAAGCTATAAACCTTAACACACTTTTCTAATGTTCTGCGGGGGTCCTTTCTATGATAGCATTTCCTGTTTTAAGATTTTTGCCTGCATGTTGGTTGAACCCATTTTTGGATGCGCAAAATGACTTTGATTTGGCAGACAAAAGTTTTTTAAATATTAAAAAGCTGTGAGGCAGTTTTGTGACTTTTAAAAAAGAAAAAAATATTTTTTTAATAATAATTATGAACTTATGGCAAAATACTTAAAGGGATAGTTTGGGTTCACATTGACTTTCGTTTAAGAAAAAAATAAATAAACTAAACTAATAAAAAAATTAAAAAAATAAATAAAATAAAATAAAATAATAAAATAAAATAATAAAATAAAATAAAATAAAATAAAATGGGAACTGAAATGTTTGGTTACCACCATTCTTCATCTTGTAATCATTCTAATCTTCTTTTGTGTTCCAAAGAAGAAAATAAGTCAGATTTGGAACAACATGAGGGTGAGTAATAACAGAATGATAATTTTTATGATGAATTTTATGAGAATGATAATAATAGAATGATAAACTATCCCTTTAATAAAGCTTTCTTTTCAAGGCTTTTAATTTATTCATTTTTAATTTATTTATATATTTATTTATTTTCAGTAGTTGTCTTCCATTTTTTTATTCCATTTTAGTCATGCCAAAGAGCTTTCACCAAAAACCGGCTGTCACTCAATTTTGGCAACGTGTTGCTGCCCAAGGATAAGACGCTAACAAGCTAACAGCTTTTCGACATGTCTGGCTGTCTGTGAGGTCTTGGCGGTAGGGGACGAGGCCATAAAGTCTTCTCTTTGTCAACCCTTCATTCTTTCTCTCTCCTCTTTATCTCACTTCCTGTCAGCTGACGTACAGCCTGAGTGACAGTACAGTGGCCCCAAGGGGACACTAAGGTGTAGAGATGAGGCTAATCCCACATCCCAACAGACTGTGCTAAAATGGAGAAGGTGGGAAAAAAGAAAACAAATCGCTCGGAGAAAAGATAAACGCCTTTGCTCACCCGCCACTCTCGTTTGTTAAACAGGTGGAAAATGTAATGAATGCATATCCCTCAATTTTTTACTCTCGATTTATCGTTTCAATTATCTGATTCTCATATTCTTTTGCACTTTTTTTCTCCTCACGTCGAGGAATGGAAACCCTAAGTGAACGCTTTATATTCAAAATCCCTACATTTAAATTTTCCGCCTGAGTATGAGAACTATTTATCATCATAATCTGAGGGAGACGGAGAACTGGCGAGCGTTGTGCGTGCAAAATTAATTTAGATTAAGCAGAGGTGTGCGATTATGAAGATTACTGACAGTGAGACGAGCGCAGTTCAATACTTTATTAACTGCCGACATCTCAGATCATTTTTGGAGATTCCTCTTTGGTTTTTGGGGGCAGCATTGGAGTGTCAGAGCAGCAGTGCTAGATTCAAGGATTTAATCAAATGTTAAAGATTGGGGAGATCGAAATGTACAGAAATTTTTTTTAAATCACAGTCTCCTTCAGTGTCTATGATAGATACAGCCCTGCTTACATGAGTGTTACAGGGTAACTGATATATTGAAACCTTCTGGAAATAAATGTTTCTGTTAGAAAAAATGAAATTAAATGGAGAGAAAATTTGTATTTTTCTTTAGGTCTTCTGATTCTCAGTTTTTTTTTTTATTAGATCTCACATGATCTCACATGTGTTTCAGCAATGTATTAAACTGCTTAGATTTGATCATTTATTTGATCAGAAATACAATAAAATCAGTAGTATTGCCAAATAAATGTTTTCTATTTTAATATATTTTAAAGTGTCACATGGTCCTTCACAAATCATTCTAATATGCTGATTTGCTGCTTAAGAAACAGTTCAGACTTTTAAAAATGTAAAAAAAAGTTGTGCTGCTCAATATTTTTGTAGAAACCTTGATATATTTTTTTCATGATTATTTGATGTATTGATGAATAGACAAATAGAATTATAAATGCTTTGTTGAATAGAAAGTTTAAACCTTTTATAACATTATAAATGTCTTTACTGTCACTTTTGATCAATTT